TGCCCGGTTCTCACCGCGCCCGCGGCGCCGCCGTCGCTGCTTCACTTTTACTCCACGCAGCGAATTCGCTTTTTAAAAGCTTCGCTCCGCCCCGGGAGCGCCGCGACGGCGGCGGCGGCGGGAGGGGCCTCGCCGCGTCCCCCCCCCGCCGGCTCCGCACCCTTTCGGGGCCGCCGTCGGACCGGGAGCGGGGTGCGAAGGAACCGGGGGTGCGAAGGAACCGGGGGTGCGGAGGGACCGGGGGTGCAAAGGGACCGGGACTCGGGGCGCAAAGGAACCGGGACCCAGGGTGCAAAGGAACTGGGGGTGCAAAGGGACCGGGACTGGGGGTGCAAAGGGACTGGGGGTGCAAAGGGACCAGGACCAGGGTGCGAAGGGACCGGGGTGCAAAGGAATCAGGGGTGCAAAGGGACCGGGAGCTGGGGTGCAAAGGGACTGGGACTTGGGGTGCAAAGGAACCGGGACCCAGGGTGCAAAGGGACTGGGGGTGCAAAGGGACCAGGACCGGGGTGCCAAGGGACCGGGGTGCAAAGGAATCAGGGGTGCAAAGGGACTGGGACTTGGGGCGCAAAGGAACCGGGACCCAGGGTGCAAAGGAACTGGGGTGCAAAGGGACCGGGACTGGGGGTGCAAAGGGACTGGGGTGCAAAGGGACCGGGACCGGGGTGCCAAGGGACTGGGGTGCAAAGGAATCGGGGGTGCAAAGGGACCGGGAGCTGGGGTGCAAAGGGACTGGGACTTGGGGCGCAAAGGAACCGGGACTCAGGGTGCAAAGGGACTGGGGTGCAAAGGGACTGGGACTCGGGGTGCAAAGGAACTGGGGTGCAAAGGGACCGGGGTGCAAAGCGACCGGGGGTGCAAAGGGACCGTGACTTGGGGTTGCAAAGGGACCGGGGTGTGAAGGGACTGGGGGTGCAAAGGGATCGTGACTCGGGGTGCAAACAGACAGGGACCCAGGGTGCAAAGGGACCAGGGTGCAAAGGGACTGGGACCCTGGGTGCAAAGGGACTGGGACCTTGGTGCAAAGGGACTGGGACCTTGGGTGCAAAGAGATCAGGGGTGCAAAGGGATCTAGGGTGCAAAGGGACTGGGACTGGGTGTGCAAAGGGACTGGGACCCTGGGTGCAAAGGGATCAGGGGTGCAAAGGGATCTAGGGTGCAAAGGGANCCCAGAGGGCCCCGGCGTCCGGGAAGCCCGAGAGGGGCCCAGGCGTCCGGGGCGACTCACCGAGGACGGGAAGTATTTGTAGGATTCCTGGGAACGGAAACAGGTGTCGGTGACGCGGGGACACGTGTCGGCGACGCGCGGCAGCACGCGGGAACGCGAGCAAGCACCGCAGGAACACGCAGGCAAGCCACAAGACAAGCCAAGAACACGCCAAGAACACGCCAAGAACATGCCAAGAACGCGCCAAGAACACGCCAAGAACACGTGAGGGTGCTGAGGCCAGGGTGCCCAAGCTCCAAAGAACCCTCCCAACCCGGCCTGAACACCCCAAAACAGCCCCAAAATGGCCCAGCCCACTTGGACACGCCGCGCCCACGCCGCGCACACGCCGCGCACACGCGTGCCGGGCTCACGCGCGCGCGCAGCTGGCACTGGCGCAGGCGGCACTTCTGGCGGATCTTGTTGGGGCCGCCGAACTTCTTCATGTCGCGGCAGAAGTCGCACTGGCCGCAGTCCTCGGGGCGCCGGCACGCCTCGCACTCGCCGCACATGCGCGCCGAGCGCTTCACCTGCGCGGGACGGGCGGGAAGGGGCCTCAGGCGACCACGGAGGGGCCCCGGCGTCCGGGCCAGCCCCGCCCCCGCCCCGCCCCGCCCACCTTGGCGGCGCGGCCCGGCTCCAGCGGCAGCTCCGGGCCCTTCCCGCACAGCTCCGCCTTGTCCCGCTCCGGCTCCCGCTCCCGAGACTTCTTGTGCCGGTAGCGGATCTCCAGGCTGGGGTCCTTGGCTGGGGGGCGGGATGAGGAAGGGCCCCGGCGCGCGGGAAGGGCCCCGGCGCGCGGGAAGGGCCCCGGCATTCGGCTCACCGCGGCAGCTCTCGCAGTACCACTCCCGGATGGCCTTGGCCATGCGCTCCGTGATGCGGATGCAGTCGCCGTGGAACCACTCGTTGCAGTTGTCGCAGCCGCTGCGGGGCGAGCGCAGGCTGCGGCGGGGCCCCGGCGTCCGGGCACCGAGCCCGACCCCCCCCCAAACGGCAGGAAGGGGCCCCGGTGTCCGGGAGGGCCCCGGTGTCCGGGAGGGGCCCCGGTGTCCCGGAGGGCCCCGGTGTCCCGGAGGGCCCCAGTGTCCGGGAAGGCCCCGGTGTCCCGGAGGGGCCCCGGTGGCCGGGAGGGGTCCCGGTGTCCGGGAGGGGCCCGGTGTCCGGGAGGGGCCCGGTGTCCGGGAGGGCCCCGGTGTCCGGGAGGGGCCCCGGTGTCCGGGAGGGCCCCGCTGTCCCGGAGGGGCCCCGCTGTCCGGGAAGGCCCCGGTGGCCGGGAAGGCCCTGGTGTCCGGGAAGGCCCCGGTGTCCCAGAGGGCCCCGGTGTCCGGGAGGGCCCCGGTGTCCNTGCAAAGGGAGCGGGTCCTGGGTGCGCCGAGGTCCCTGTCCCCAAGTGGACAGTTGCTCTGGTCCCCGCGTGCGCAAACAGCGGCCCCGGGGGACGCCAGGGTCCCTGTCTGTGAGGGTGCCAACGGCCGGTCCCCAAGCGTGTCCTGGCCACTGGGTGTGCGAGTGTCCCCACACGTGCAAACGCCTCGTCCCTGTCCCACGGAATGTCCTGTCCCCACGGCGGGGGCGTCCCCGGCCCGGTCCCCCCTCGCCCTGGGGGACAGCGGTGCCCACGGGGTGGGCACACTGCGCTGGTGACATGGGGACCCTGCGACGCGAGGACAGGGACAGAGGCAGCGCCGGCGTCCCGGGGACGGGAGCAGTGCCAGCGGACGCAGGCGGTCCTGGGGGACGGATGCGACGGCGGCGACGGATGCGATGGCGGGAGCACATGTCCCCGGGACGGATGCAGAGCTGGGGACAGCTGCAATGGCAGGGGACGGATCCCAAGGGACGGATGCAATGCCCGGGATCGGATGCAGCGCTGGGGACAGACGCGATCCCTGGGGCCAGGTGCAATCCCGGGGGACGGCTGCAGTGCTGGGGATGGAGGTGACAGGGGACACAGGCGGTGCCGGGGGACGGCTGCAATGCCAGGAGATGGGCGCAATCCCAGGGGACGGCTGCGATACCAGGAGATGGGCGCAATCCCGGCGGACAGCTGTGGTGCCAGGGAACGGGCACAATCCCGGGGGACGGCTGCGATACCAGGAGATGGGCGCAATCCCGGCGGACAGCTGTGGTGCCAGGGAACGGACGCAATCCCGGGGAACGGATGCAACAGTGGGAGCACGACCCACGGACAACTGCGATCCCAGGAATGGCTGCAATCCCATGGGACGGCCGCAGTCCCAGGGGACAGTTGCAATCCCAAGGGACGGCTGTAGTTCTGGGGAACGGATGCGCCGGTGGGAGCGCGACCCAGGGACAGCGGCGATCCCGGGGACGGCTGCGATCCCAAGAATGGCTGTGATCCCATGGGACGGCTGCGATCCCATGGGAYGGCCGCAGTCCCRGGGGACAGTTGCAATCCCAAGGGACGGCTGCAGTTCTGGGGAACGGATGCRCCGGTGGGAGCGCGACCCAGGGACAGCGGCGATCCCGGGGATGGCTGCAATCCCATGGGATGGCTGCCATCCTGTGGGACGGCTGCGATCCCAGGAATGGCTGTGATCCCATGGGACGGCCGCAGTCCCGGGGGACAGTTGCAGTCCCAGGGGACGGTGGCAGTGCCAGCAGATGGATGTGACGCCGGGGCTGGCTGCGCCTGCAGCGACCGGCGCAGCAGCGGCCGCGGAGCCGGCGGCGCCGCGGGGCCCGGCCGGGGAAGCCCGGGCGGTGCCGGCCGGGATCTCCATGGCGATGCCGCACACACAGACATTAAACACGGAGCCGCGGCGGAAGCGGCGAAACCGCCGCGCGTCACTGTGGTTGTTCCAGGACGGAGCGGCTGCCCCGGCCCGGCCGGGCCCGCGACGCCCTCCGGCCGTGGGGTCCCAACACGGGGACCCACGGGGGGATGTTCTGGGGTCCCATCCCAGGGACATGGGGACCCACAGGGGGACACATAGGGGTCCCGAAACAGGGACCCGCGGGGGGACATCCTGGGGTCCCATCCCAAGGACACAGGGATCCATGGGGGACGTCCTGGGGTCCCATCCCAGGGACATGGGGACCCACGAGGGGGTAACTTGGTGATCCCATCTCAGTGCATGGGGACATGCTGGAGTCCCAGCCTGGGGACACTGGGACCCCATGGAGGGCATCTTGGGGGGTCCCATCCCAGTGCACGGGTGCTCTATGGGGGGACACGTTGGGGTCCTGTCTGGGTGCTTGGGGACACCGTGGGGGGACACACAGGAGTCCCATCCCAGAGCCATGGGCACCCACGGGGGACACAACGGGGTCCCGTTCCAGCCSGTGGGGACACGGGAGGACACCTCAGCGCCCTGTCCTGGCGCACAGCGGGACACGCCGGGCTCCTGTCCCGGGCACATGGGCACCCATGGGGGGCACATCTCGGGGGTCCCGCCCCAGCCCATGGGGCTCAGAGGGGGACGTGCCCGCYGTGCCATGCTGGGGACATGGGGACATCTCCGGGTCCCACCGCGGCGCGGACGGGGCCAAGCGGGGGTCCCGCGTGGGGCCAGGCCGTGTGCCCGCGTGCCGCGGCCGGCGGCGTGCCGGGGGTTAAGGCGGCATTCCCGGTCCCGCCGGGATCCGGCCCGGCTGCGCTGCCGTCACCGCGTCGCCCTGGAGATGCCTGGAAGTTCCCAAATACAATTAGTGCCGGGAGGGTTTGGGTTTCCGAGCGGGATAAACAATGGCCAGGGAGGGACCCTGCGCGGCCCCGGCCCCGGGGGTCCCCAGGGCTTTGGGGGTCCCCGTACACCTGGGGGGGTCCCCAGGGCTCCGGGGGTCCCTGCGGCCCCAGGTGTCCCCGTGACTCCAGGTGTCCCTGTGGCTCCAGGTGTCCCCATGGCCCTGAGGGTCCCCATAGACCTGGGAGGGTCCCCAGGGCCCCAGGTGTCCCCAGGGCTCCGGGGGTCCCTGTGGCCCCAGGTGTCCCCATAGGCCTGGGGGATCCCCAGGGCTTCGGGGGTCCCCGTAGACCTGGGGGTGTCCCCAGGGCCCCAGGTGTCCCCAGGGCTCCGGAGGTCCC